TTTTTTTTTCCACATTTAATCATATCTTTAAATCTTATTATTTTTTTCCACATTTAATCATATCTTTAAATCTTATTTTTTTTTCCACATTTAATCATATCTTTAAATCTTATTATTTTTTTTCCACATTTAATCATATCTTTAAATCTTTTTTTTTCCACATTTAATCATATCTTTAAATATATTTTTCTACATTTAATCATATCTTTAAATCTTTTTTTTTTCCACATTTAATCATATCTTTAAATCTTATTATTTTTTTTCCACATTTAATCATATCTTTAAATCTTTTTTTTTCCACATTTAATCATATCTTTAAATCTTTTTTTTTCCACATTTAATCATATCTTTAAATCTTATTTTTTTTAAACATTCAAAAGTGTGTTTGTGTGTGCGCGCGCGTGTGTGTGTGCGTAAGCATGTGTGTGCATGTGTGCATGTGTGTGTGCAATGGATAAAAAGGGGTTGGTAGGAAAAGGAGGAGGAGAAGGAAAGGTGGGGGGGTCGAGTGGAACAAGGTAAGTGTGAAAATGAAGAGGATTGGTAAATTAGGTTTTGAAGGACAATTGATCAGGAGGAAAGGGTGGGAAATAGAAGGAGAATAGAGAGTCAGAAATAATAGGGTTGGTGGGGGCTGTGTGGTTGGTGGGGGGTGTATGGTTGGTGGGGGGTGTATGGTTGGTGGGGGTGTGTGGTTGGTTGGGGGTGTGTGGTTGGTTGGGGTTGTGTGGTTGATGGGGGTGTGTGGTTGGTGGGGGTTGTATGGTTGGTGGGGGGTGTATGGTTGGTGGGGGTGTGTGGTTGGTTGGGGGTGTGTGGTTGGTTGGGGTTGTGTGGTTGATGGGGGTGTGTGGTTGGTGGGGGTTTGTGGTTGGTGGGGATGTGTGGTTGGTGGGGGTGTGTGGTTGGTGGGGGTGTGTGGTTGGTGGGGGGGTGTAGTTGGTGTCATAACAAAACAAAAAAAAACTTCGCTGCGATTAAAATGACGTCATGATCCAAAGCATTTAAAAAATTCAAATAACTTCGCCATTTAATTTTCAACCGAGACACCAATTTACGTTGTCTAAATTTTTATCAGACAAAACATACAGCTTCAATCCGTCCTAGTCGTGGAAGTCCCTATTAGTAAAAGTCTTTCTATTTGAGCTGTTATCTTGTTGGCTCATCTCAAGGATAGCCTGTGTGTTCGTAGGGCCGTACTACTTTCTTGTGTGTAGGTGCTCGAGATCAGTAAACAGGATGGACCAGTATCTGAAAAACAGAACAATTGTTCACGTTACTCTTTGGCTCGTATGCCACTCGGGGCTGCTTGTCTCAAAGGGCCACTCAGGGCAACCATGCTGGGCACATATGCCACTCGGGGCAGCTATGCTTGGCTCAAAGGGCCACTCAGGGCAACTATGCTGGGCACATATGCCACTCAGGGCAACTATAGTGGGCACATATGCCACTCAGGGCAACTATGCTGGGCACATAGGCCACCCGGGGCAACTATGCTGGGCACATATGCCACTCGGGGGAACTATGCTGGGCACATATGCCACCCGGGGCAACTATGCTGGGCACATATGCCACTCGGGGCAACCATGCTTGCGTGAAAGTTTGGATGAAATAGTTTGAGTAAAAGCAACACATCTTTCTGGTAAATATTTTTTTGAAAAACCCAACCTGCCCCTGCCTTACTGATGTATTGCAGCTTGTTGAAATGATAAGAGTTCTTTAGATGAATGCATACCAGTGTGTTGCTTTTAAAACGGTTTGTCATTGCCATATTTAATTATGCAAGACACCATCTTACGGACAGCCTTCTGCGAACGTTGAAATTTTCAAGCCTACCTGGGTTTTTTTTAAATAAACTGAAGGACTTTTGAAATATAATGAGTTTGAGGGATGGGTTCCAGAATAGTCCCTTTTCTCTCTCTCTTTCTAACCCCCCCCCCCCTCTTTTTTTTTTTTTTAACAACGCGATACCTTCTCGATTTTTTTTTTTTTTAACAACGCGATACGATTACGATTATTTTTATGGAACCCAAGTATCGCATTACAGCCAGCTTCCGCTGAGAATTTAGATAGTTGCTCGTCCTCAGATCCAGCTGTTATGTTGAGGGTAATATGGGGAGGACAAAGTTCAGGCTCAATCCCTGTGAATATAACATACAGGATAGGGGAAAACCTGAAATATAACATACAGGATAGGGGGAAACCTGAAATATACATCTAGAGCAGGGAGGGGGAAAACCTGAAATATTAGAAAGATTGGGCGGAAACCATTAATATAACAGAGTGGTGGGGGACTGAAACATAACAGAGAGTGGTAAGAAACCGGAAATATAGCATACAAATTAGGGGAAAACCTGAAACATAACATAAAGGATAGGTAAAAACCTGAAACATAACATAAAGGATAGGTAAAAACCTGAAATATAATACATAGAACACAGGAAAACCTGAAAAATCACAAAACTAAACAATGTAAATTTCGAATAAAAAGTCTTCATCAGTAGAAAAAAAATAGATGTTTGTGTAGATAGTTCTTACGAAGAACTTATCTATGCCCAAACCTAATCCAAACCCTAACCCTAATCTTAACCCTAATCCTAACCCTAATCCTAACCCTAATCCTATCCCTAATCTTAACCCTAATCCTAACCCTAATGCTACACTTAACCCATCATTTTATCCGCCTCACCTGACGTATTCAAAGTGGCTGACCAGCCCGTCGACGTCGCCGTCCAGCAGGCGGAAGAAAAAGTCGTAGTCGTGGCGGTCCAGCTGGTCGTCGTTGTCCACGTCGTAGATGTCGTAGAGGGCGTGCGCGATGGGAGCCATGGACGGAATGTGCTGATTTAGGTGCTGGATGTACTCAGTGCGGCTGACCCGTCCATTGCTGTTGGTGTCGTATTGCTGGGGTTGGAGAGTATAACATATTATTTTGGGCTTTGTTGTAATTGTTGTTGTTTTTTTCCCCTCAATGATCCAAACCGTTTCAGAGCACGTGTGGACATTTAATTGAATTGGTTTATCGATTTTAAAACGCCCTGACATGTCTATTTAATCAAAGTATGAAGCTGACTTATTGATGCTTGAAACAATTATTAGTCAGCAGTCTTCAGTATGTTTAAAGTTTATCGATTTCAAAGCGATAATATGGACAGAAATTGATGGATTTAAATTCAACATAATAGATAACAAAAGTGCTCTATCTGCATCGACTGCTGCAGTCAAAGAAAATAACAGAAGAAGATATATGGAAGCTTGAGATAGAAAGACGGGACTATTTTTTTTTAAAAAAAAAACGTTTTGCTTAAGAGCCTTGTTCGGCAGGCAGGACAAATGAATAAATAACAAGCAGTAATGTTGTTCAAAAACTTAATGCGTTCGCCATTAATGTTATTTCCGAAAGTTAGGTTTTTCAAAACCCAGATGACAAGAATAAAGATGAATATCATTGTATAAGATAGGATAAGATACGATTCTTTTATTGATCCAAATAAATGGAAATGTTTTTTGATTGCATTACACATTTTCAGCACAAAAATAAAACAATTTGAACACAAGACATTTATAATAAATTACTTCAAACAGCCTTTCAGTGAGTTCTCTTAGCAATATCGGGGACTTATTAGTTCTCATTCAGATGTGTGACTTCAGAGGAAGCACGCCGGTAAATTCGTACAGATTGGGGAACAAAAGAATTTTTATATCGGTCAGTCCTCGCCCTGATGGAAAGAATTCGTTCCGAACGGCCCGATCCTAAGTATCTGTGATGAAGAGGGTGGGACGTATCATCCAAAATGTGTTTAGTTTTACAAAAACCATCTTTCTTCAAATAGTTCTTCAAGTGAAGGATGTTTAGTTTGTAATAGTTTTTTGGCAGCAAACTATGGAAAATCAAATTAAAGAGCAATGATTTCAATGATTTTGGATGTCATAAAAACTGAATATCATCCTCTAAGTGTTAAACTGCGGAGAAATTGAAACTCATTTACCTGGATTTAGATGGTTTGTGAGATAAAAGTTTTTGGAAGTCGCGCAAAAAAAACAACAAATTTAGATAAGGAAATAAAGAGGATTGTGTTAAGTTTAGTTAAAATATTGGTGAAAAGGTAGAGGCTCCCCCGTCCGTCTAATCACATTAACAAACTCATCCGTCCTACTAATCACATTAACAAACTCACCCGTCCTACTAATCACAATAACAAACTCATCTGTCCTACTAATCACAATAACAAACTCATCTGTCCTACTAATCACATTAACAAACTCATCTGTCCTACTAATCACAATAACAAACTCATCTGTCCTACTAATCACAATAAAAGACTCATCCGTCCTACTAATTACAATAATAGACTCATCTGTCCTACTAATCACAATAACAAACTCATCTGTCCTACTAATCACAATAACAAACTCATCCGTTCTACTAATCACAATAACAAACGCATCCGTTCTACTAATCACAATAACAGACTCATGTTGTCATATTGCGCGATAAAATGTTATAATATTGCGCGATAAAATGTTGTAATATTGCGCGATAAAATGTAATATTGCGCAATAAAATGTAAAAATTGCGCGATAAAATGTAATATTTCGTGACGCTAACGTGTGAAAGCAGCGTCAGCACGGTGGCGGAGCACATTTCAGGGCACAATGGTCTCGGACGTCGGCGTCACATTCCCTGAGAGAGTAAACTTAATCTGAAGTCTGCGTCATATACCCTAAAAGAGTGACAAACCTTGAAAGATTCATACACCCTGAAAGATTCACACACCCTGAAAGAGTCACACACCCTGAAAGAGTCACACACCCTGAAAGAGTCACACACCCTAAAAGAGTCAAACACCCTAAAAGAGTCACACATCCTCAAGAGTCACACACCCTGAAAAAGTCACACACTCTGAAAGAGTCACACACCCTGAAAGAGTCGCACACTCTGAAAGATTCACACACCCTGAAAGATTCATACACCCTGAAAGTGTCACACGCCCTGAAAGAGTCGCACACCCTGAAAGAGTCGCACACCCTGAAAGAGTCGCACACCCTGAAAGAGTCACATACCCTGAAAGAGTAATCCACCTCGTTTTGGTCGATGAAGCTGCTGAGGTCGATGTCAACATCGATGAACATGTTTGTCGCCGTCAGGTCGTAAGGTTTCAGGCTTATTTGCAAGGTCAGGGCCGGAAGGAAAATCAAGAAGAGGGTGGACGTTATTGACATTTCAGAAGCTTTCTCAGAAACCTGAAAGGGGGGGGGGGGGGGTGAGGGGGGTTGGGGGGGGGCGGCGTTAAAAGAAGTTATTCTCATTTGAAAGAAATTAACGTTGAAGTCTACACAGGCGTAACACTATCGTAAAATGTTACTAATACATTTCCCATGTTTCTGCGTTGATGCATGCTGGTTGGAATGCTTGGTGGCATGGTGGTTGGCATGCTGGTTGGAATGATGGTTTGAATGTTCGTGGGCATGCTGGTTGGCACATTGGTTGCGATGCTTGGATTGCATGGTTGTTGGCATGCTGGTTGGAATGGTGGTTGGAATGCTGGTTGGCACGCTGGTTGGCAAGCTGGTTGGCATGCTGGCTGGCATGCTGGCTGCAATGCTGATTGGCACACTGGTTGGCATGCTGGTTGGCATGCTGGTTGGCATGCTGGTTGGCATGCTGGTTGGCATGCTGTTTGGCATGCTGGTTGGCATGCTGGTTGGCACGCTGGTTGGCATGCAAGATTATATATAGATAGCCAAAAGTGGCATCTAAATTCATACTCTAACGGTACTTTGCAGTTCAACTTAAAAGAATCAAAGTCGGAATGAAATTATTTTGTTTGAATTTTGCTCATGATTACATGCGTAGATTATTCGAAGTAAATCATAAAACTATAATAATAAACTAGAATCATTTTTAAAAAAAAAATAACGCCACAAACCGAAAGTATTTGAAGTATTCAGTGAGTGAAGACACAGTCGATCACAATCAATTTTTTTTTTTTTTCAAACCAACCTATATCAAAGAGTCCAGTGTTAGATGTAAGCCACTAAATGTATGAACAATATTAAAATTTAGGGTTTACAATCACTTAAAGGCCGTTAATATTATTGGTTTGCTTGGCATTCAGCGCCCGTGTCTAGAAGTGGGACTCTATGTCAACGCCGTCTCAGTTTTTAACATTGCCCAAAACACAAGACTTAGATCTAAGGTGCTGACATCAGCTGTGACCAGCAACGGCTTGGGTCAAATAATGATGGCAGTTATTAGCGAGACATGCAGCCGAGTTGTTGATCCGTCTCAAAGACAGATTCCGTTACACGTCATTCGTCCTTCAATACTTGCGGCGAAGTAAAGATGATCCGTGGGGGGGGGGGGGGGGG